TATCTATCTATCTATCTATCTATCTATCTATCTATCTATCTATCTATGACAATCCAAAATCAAAAGCACTGGAGAATCCTATGAGTAATAATTCTGGTCCAGAATTTTTAACTGTAGAAAAGAAAAGAAAAAAAGCTCCGGAATATTATTTTTCAGTGGGTTTTTCTAAAACCAAAATAAATAAAATGTTTCACATTATGAATCTAATTTCCTATTTTTCTTTATATTTCTACAATTCCACTGTTTGGTAAAATCTCATTAATTTTCAATGGTAGCCCTCAAAGCAAATTCCGGTAAAATGTCAGGTAATAACTGCAACTCCCAAACACATTCCGTTTTGCCTCCACTGGAAGTTTTTTAATATTACACATTATTGTGGTCTTTGAATTGTCCTAACAGTATTTAGATATTATTTTAGAAATTATTTAGAAATTATTTTGAACTTGAATCCACCCTATTCATTTAAGAGTTTGAAATATTGTTTCCCTATTAATTAATTGGCCAGCCTCCTATACCTTTTTTAGACCTATACATACAAGCATAATTCAATTTGTAGATCTTTTCTGGAATGAAACTGCAGCCATGGAATTAACTTCACCCGTTGAATTCCAATCTATTGTGCAAGTGTTAAAGGTACTAAGATGCTAAGGCTAAGTATTCCCTGCATTGAACAGCTGTAACCAACATCTGTTCAGTTGCATCTCTTCTTAACAAACCATGAGACAAAAAAAGGCAGCTATCACTTTCACACCATTGACTAACATAATTCTGGTTGTGTTCACACTGAGTTATTGTTTGCTTAACCGTAGTACACCAAATAACTGGCATTCGTACGACATGTTAAGTCAAGTATCACATTAAGCTTGGTATTGTGTGAACTTATTTTGTGAATATATGATACTAAATTAGATCTCCTCAACCTGATGTTTTCCGTTGGGCTGGATGAATTTTGCGGTTGAGGGGAAAATGGAACACATCTAAGAGGACGCAGATTGAGGTACTAAGTCTAGGTTGAACTAGAGATGAACTTTGCTCAAAATCAACATGAAGACAAGTCTCATGTTATAGAAAAGTAAGCCTTTCCTGCCCCAATAGTCCAGGATGAAGCTACCTGGTATAGATGCCAGATGAAGAATTAGGAGGAACAAAGGAGGTGAGGATAGACACACAGTCTCGCTAGTCAAAATAATATTGACGCACCTTCTCCACCCTCAAGATGGAATGCAGTTCAATGGATGTGCCTTAAAACTTATTTCCAGCCCACTTTTCAAGTCCACACTCTTCTCACACACCCTTAGAATGAAGCCATATTCCCTCACCACACCTAGCCTTTCCCCAATGACCTACGTTCTGCAGGTACCACATTGGCTTGGGCCAGCCTTTCCCAAACTAGTTGCAAAGGGAGAGTTGGTGGGTGAGAATGAGGTCTTAGGCATATGGAGAGCACCAAGTTAAGAGCAGCAGAACAGTATCAACTCCACTGAAGGTCAAATACTTTGGCCACCTGAGGAGAAGGAAGGACTCCTCAGGAAAGACACACACACACACACCCATGTTGGGAAAAATGGAAGGCAAAAGGAGAAGGGGATGGTAGAGGTTGAGATGATTAGATAGTGTTCATCCACACAGTCGGCATGAAGTTTGGGTAGACTCAGGGAGACAGTGTGGAAAGACTGTCCAGAAGTTTCATTTTATTTTAATGTATGTCCATTAATGTATATGTAAAGCAACAATAAAGTTATTACCTGAAGCGTAAGAAGTGATTGGACAACCTCTTGTCTGAAAGGGTACATAGGTTTTGCTGCCTGAGCAGAGGGTTGGACTAGAAGACCTCCAAGGTCCCTTCCAACTCCGTTATTCTCATACAGTGGAGGGAAGGGGACCTCGCTGAAAGTCGGACCCCACTTAGCTATTTCCTGCCCATGGAGACAAAATGCTGGGAGAAAGGCTGACCCAGGGCATAGGTTCCCTCCCGGCTGATCCTCTTCGACTGGAGATGCCAGAAGACTCAACTTGGCACGTGCCTCCTGCCAAGCAGCTTCCTCGGCCTTCGTTTTGCGCATCGGCTCCCGAGAGGGATCGTCGTGTAAGTTGGGATTCCCGCCCGTTTCAACAAGTTTGAAAGATACACACACACACACACACACACACACACACACACACACACACACACA